TATATTTCCCCCTTTATTTTGGTCAATGATCAATAAATACACCTGTAAACTGCTCAAATATGATTTGATTCCAGAAGCTATGTTACTGGTAGTTCAAACACAAACTGGATCAAACATGTTGTATAAGTTTCACTGGAGCTGCTATGACAGTTCTAAGACAAAGATCAACCTGTAAGCTGGCATAGCCATCCATGTAGTAATGAACTATAGAAAGTGTCATGCATATCAGTATAAAACATACCGATATAATAATTAAGAAAACAGTTTAGAATCATTGAGAGACACTCATAGCATGACTCAAGGTAAGACATTAAAGGAAAATGTGGCAGCTCAGCTCTGGATATCATTATGCCTCCTACCATGATTTTAAAAAAAATCAATGTACTGAAAGAGATCTCTGTTTATACCTTTTCCAAAGAAAGCAATTCTAAAAGAAGAATTAGTAAAACCTTGCTTAAAATAAATGGAAAATGGTTGGAGCAGTCCATCCACAGGGATCTGGTAGATATTAAAACTGCATTCAGAAGAGGACATGAAATAAGATGTGCTGATAAAGTAAGGATCTTGTTTGCAACAACATCAGAGAATTGCAGGAAGATGATTATTATGCTTTAGTCACTATGGCCCTTAACTAAGGATAAATATTGTTGCAAAAACATATTGCACTGGGAAAATGTGATGTCAAGACTCTATCCAAAGTACTGAAGAGCAAAGATATTAAAGACTGAAATGTGCCTAATCTAATCTATGGGGTGTTATTTTGTTTTGTTTGCATCTGAAAGTTGGAAAAGGAATAAAGAAGACAAAGAAAAATTGATGCATTTGACTTGTGATGTTGGATAAGACAATTGAATACATCGTGTGATGTCAAAACAACAACAAAAAATCATTTTGTCTTTGAGGAAGTGCAATCAAGATCCTTCTTAAATGCAAAAATGGTGAAACTTCATCTCATATGTCATTAAGGATCAGCCATTAGAAAAGGAGAGAATGCTGGCAAAGCTAGAGGTTCTCAATAAATGACTGTAAAATGGGCTCAGAATTGATAACAAGTTTCAAATTTGATGTTCATGGGGTTACTATGAATTATAAATCAATTGACTGAACCTCAGAGAAATAAGCACGGACATGGCTTCCAATCCTTATTTTTCAGCATACCATTTCACCTCCACTGCAAGTCATTAAAGGACTGAATCCGATCACATTTCTGTAAACCAAACAGTCCAAAAAGTCAGATGAATAAAATTCATTCAATCTACTTTTAATAGTGAGACTGAGAAAGTAAATCACACTCTCCCAGCCTCTCCTCTCTGTTTACATATGACTTATCCTCTCTTACAATAAGAGAGGAAGAAACCGCACCTTTATAGAAGTAAAGATACAATATAAAAAGTTATGGTACAATCTTTCTATAATCCCTGTTTCATATCCCCTTAAGGCATCCTGAGTTTCAGAGCTACTCTTTGATTCTGTGATATTCTTAGTATATTCCTGAGCACTTAATATAAAAGTAGAATTTCTTTTGAAAGGCCTGTTAAAAGGCGGCGAGTCAGCAGTGACGAGGAACCCGCTGTGGACAGCTGCCTGAGCGACATGAAGACAGACACCAGGGAGGTCCTGACCCCAACCAGCACCTCGGACAATGAGACCCGAGACTCCTCCATCATCGATCCCGGGACTGAGCAAGACCTTCCTTCCCCTGAAAACAGTTCAGTTAAAGAGTACCGAGTGGAGGCTCACTCTTCGTTTTCAGAAGACGTGTCACGTGTGAGGTCGCAGCATTCAGAAGACCAGTCCAGCAGACTGGAAGACTGCCAGGAATCGAAAGGCCTCCCGTGTTCCAGGGATTCTCACCAGGTGGAGGAGGAAGCCGAGTTCCCACCTCCTTCTGTCTCTGCGGTTCTGTCAGACCTGGCTGACTTGAGAAGCTGTGATGGTCAAGCTTTGCCCTCCCCGGACCCCGAGGCCGCTTTGTCGCTCAGCTGTGGCCATTCCAGAGGACTCGCAAGTCACACCCCACAGCACGACATCCTGGATACCCTCTGTAGGACCATTGAGTCTACCATCCACGTGGTAACAAGGATATCTGGCAAAGGAAACCAGGCTGCTTCTTGACGTCAGATGTAGCATGTCTCCTTTTAAGACCCCTTCCCCACCTTCGATGCTGTTTGTATAAGTTTTGCTCATTTCTGTTTCGTGCTTCAGTTTGTCCAGTGCTTTCTGCTTGAATGGCGAGATAGATTTATATGCTTACTTCTTGGCCAGGCAGAACTCCAGATGAAAAAATTTGCATCTTACAGTCCACTTTCTAAAGGGCAATCAGATAATGGCTATGTTTTATGTAATTAAGAGTTCACTGTAGTGGCTTTCATTGAATATGGCTGTCTGGGAGGAACAGAGTTCCCTGTACAATGTAATTTAAACTTACAGCATTTTTACTGTGTATAATATGGTGTCCTCTGTACCAGTTTTGTACCTTATAATAGAGGCAGGTTGCCTCCGATCGCTGTGGCTCTTATTATCAAAATTACGTTTACTTGTATACGGAACAACCACAAGAAATTTGATTCTGTAAAGAATCCTCTTTAGCTGTGGTCTGGCAGTGTATACATGGTGCTTTATTTAACAGAATACCTGTGGAGGGAATAAAGCACACTTGATGTACATTTTTATTGACATGACTGATTGCTATTCTGTGCACTTAATTAAACTGATTGTGATGAAAAAAAAAACCTTAATTATAAAGCCGTTATTTTAATTTCAATTTTTAAAACAGTTACTGTTATATAAGCTGAAAGAATAAAGAAAAATATATAAGGCCTCTGTTGCAATATATATTAGAAAAATATTTAACAACTCAGAAATCACCAAAAAAGGGAAGGAATACACATAGTATCTACCAAAATAAATTGCTCAACACTTAAACCTTACATCAAGGTGCATTTAATCAAGAGCCAATGGTATAGAAGGAAGCCCAGATTACAAAAAAGACATTGGAAAAAATAATGATTCAGGAAATCATGGAAGACCAATTGACAGGTTTTAGCGTACAAATGCATCACTCACCATGCGCATATAGTTATGGCAAGACATCTGGAAGACAGTTCTCTGATCAACAAGCTGGAGGTTATTTATGGTTGTGGTCACTCTACAAAAAGGGTTATCACACACAATACACAAACTATTAATAATATCATTAATAGCAAATGCAAGTGCCATCTTGTTGAAGAAAATTATAATACAGATAATGTAGTACATTGAGAGAAAAATATTGGAAATTTAACCTCGATTCAGAAGAGACCATAGAATGAAGACTCTCTTGGTTGACATCAGAGAGGTTATGCTAAAAACAGAGTACTTTTAGAAAGGTGCTATTTGCATTTAATTGGTGATATAAAGTATCACATTGTGTGGATTATAATAAATTATGGATAAAATTGTAATCAATGATAATTCAAGAACACTGAATTGCACCCATGAAGAAACTAAGCAAAGACCAAGAAGTAGATGTTCATACAGAACTGCATGGTTTAAAATATCAAAAGAAATGTAAGAGTTGTATCATTTCCCCATACATGCTTAATATGTCTGCTGAACAAATAACCTAGGTGTTCGACTACATGAGTAAAAACATGTTATCAAGGTTGGAGGAAGTCTTATCAACAATCTAACATGAGTAACTTACATAACGCTGCTTTCAGATAAAAAGATATTAAGCACTTTTTCATGAAGCTTTAAGAATGCTGTTTCAGGAGAGCTCACCCTCAACATGAAGAAAAATGCGCACACATACAACGGGACTTACAAATATATTTCAATAAATAGGTAAATTTGCTGTTGGCAAAAATTTCATTTTGCTTGGATCAACATCCGTGGAAGAAAAAATTAAAAACTTAAATGATGTGTATGTTCAACAGGAGAAAGCTGATATCACGGACCTCTTTGTAAATTGCTGAAGAGCAACGATATGATTTTAACTCCTAAAGGGTACCTCACTGAAGTCATGATATTTTCAATCTTTCTTCATAAACATGATAAAATTGATCATTAAATAAGGGAAATGTGTTCCTTATTGAAGAAGTGTTGATATGTTTCTTAGCAATTTCCCTACAGCATTTAAAACCAAAATATGAACAAATCACATTGGAAGAAGTATAGCTAGGGTACTCCTTAGAAACAAGGACATGAAAAAAAAAATTAAAAAATTAAAGAAAAAAAGAAACAATGATGTGAAACTTCATCTTTCAAATTTTGGATATATTATGAAGAAGTGTCATTCCCTGGAAAAGGACATTTTTCTTGAAAAAGTATAAAGTCAGTGAAAAGTGAAAGAACTCTCAGTGAAACAGATGGACTCAGTGACTGCAACAATGGTTTTTGTTTTGTTTTTGTAATTAAACAATTATTTTATTGCTCAAGTACAAAAGACAAATTTATGCAACCAGGCTGTGGATGACTTATGTTTTCAATTTAAGGGAAAGATTCTCTTTATCTGATAGTATTGAGACAATTGGTGAATTTGACTCTCTACCAAGAGACAGAATTTAGCATCCTTATCCACTCCGTTCCTCTTAAGATGCTTTTGAACAGCAACAGCTTTATTAGTGAGATGGAAGAGATCCTCTTGATAGGAAATCTTAAGGATTCTCAAGATTTGATTGCCTGTCACAAAACGTACTTGTTCAATGAATGCTATGTGAATCTCTGAGTATCACACTAATTTGGGAAGGAGTCAGACTCTTGGCTAGTTTGTACATCTACTCCTTCATATCTGACTGCCTCCATCCTGGGTCACAAGGATTCTCACAGGAAGGGCTTGTCCCAGTTGGCTCTACCCTATCTCAACAGTCTCCCAACCTGGCTGAAGTTAATGTCTGATGACATGAAGGTGCAACAATGATTTTAAGTACAATAATGATTGCAATTTGACAGCAAGATTGGGCAGTATTGTCGTCATATGTTCATAGAGTTGCTAGGAGTCAGAGATAACTGAATGACACCTAAAGACGAGACAGTAGAGCAACCAAGTGAAAAAAGCAAAACAGAAGACAAAAAAAAACCCCAAATATGTAGTAACATGGGTCACTGTCAGAGCATCATAATATAAATTATTCATGAAATAAAATTGCATATTTGCAACACTTAGAGCATGAACATAAGTTACCATTATTTATAGTGGGAAAAAAAATTCTATTCCAATGTGGTAAAAATACATCATTCATTAAATTCTCTTTCAAAAATTCTTTATCTGAAAGTAAAAAAGTCTTAAAATTAAACGGAGAGTTTATTACAATTAGAAGAATTACAGGACTTTTTAAAAATTATATTTGCTAGGTACCATTGAGTCAAGAACAATTCGTACTGACTGTATGAACAACACATCTGAAACTCTTTCAGTATGATATATTTTTCTATTTATGTAGATCTCTTTTTGTTTCTTTGAGTAGTGTTTGGTAGTTGTCTTTATATAACACTTTTGTGTCTCTGATTAAATTTATCCCTAAGTATTTGATTTTGTGTTTGGATATTGTGATTGGTATTATTTTCTTTATATTTCTTTTTCAACACTGTCTTTTTTACTGTAGAGAAATCTAGCTGATTTTTGTATATTAATACTGTATCCTGCTACTTGGTTGAATTGGTCAGTTTGGTTCAATAATTTTCTTTCTGAGTTTTTGGAATTTTCCATTATATCCTATTAAATCATCAGCAAATAAAGAACATTTTAGTTCTTTGGCTGTTTAGATGCCCTTTATTTCCTTTTCTTGCCTTATCGCTCTAGCTAGAATTTCCAATGCAATATTGACTAGTAATTGTAATATCTGATCCTTCTTCATAAGGGGTGTGTGTGTATGTTTGAGGTGCACTGTCAAGTTGACTATGACTTATTGAGAACCTATAAACAAGAAAGCTGAATTTTATGCTGTCTTGCACCATCCTCATTTCCTCTACCTTTCATAAGCCCATTGTTACAAACACATTCTCTTGGGAAAATCTGCTGTGCACTACCACTCCAATGTGCTAAAAAATGAGGATACCAATTTCAAAACTTTAGTGTGTCTGATCTAAACCACTGTATTTTCAATTGCTTTCTATGTGTGTGAAGGTTGGACTGTGAATAAGAATAGAATCAATGCCTTTAAATTGTGATTTTGGAAAGAGAAAGAACTGGTTATTCTATCAATTACCAAAAGAATAAACCAACCTATTTACAGGAAGAAAGGCTTTAATCTCTACCTTTTAAAGGCAATGTAGGCTATTGTTGTTGTACATGTCTTTAAACTCTCTCCTTTAAGGGTGATGTTGGTTTTGTATATGTTTTTGATTGTGTTAGAGAATACTACTTAATATTTTAAACAAGATGCTCAGGTTATGTGCTGTAGAATCAGAACTGACTCATAGCTGACACTACGGGGTGTTTTTAGAGGCCATAAATCACACAGAAGGGGATTGTTCATCTTTCTCTTATAGAATAGCTGGTGCATTTGCATCATGTGGACAGCCCAGCATGTTGGCACTAGGCAATCAGACTTCCTTAATCAAGGAAGTTTACCAAATGCCTTCTAATTTGAAATCCGATGGTGCAAGAGACTATGTGATATCATAGTTGGCAAATTCAAGTATACACATAATTGCAGTAAAAACATGTTTTCTGAGGACCAAGACAACATGTAAAATCCATAAGCTGCCTCAGGTCTATGCCTCACAAAATTAGATTATTGAATTAACTCACAGATTCATAGCATTTACCTAAACTTATTTTGTCTTCTTTTTTAATGCATAGTTTCAGGGGATATTTCTATTACTGATTCTTACTTAATAGGTACCACAATTAGATTTGTTCTTTATTTGTCAATGGCCTTAAATTGGTAAAAAAAAAAAACAACAAACAAACACAAAAAACCCAAAAATAAAACTCAAAGATATCAATTTAGAGACCGATGTATGTATGACCCAAACAATGATATTTTCAGTTGTTTCATATGCTTCTGAAAGTTGGACAATAAATAAGGAAGATGAAAGAAGAATTGGTACCTTTGAATTTTTTTAATATCTGTATTGGTTTTCATAGAATAATTTCTTTATATTATGTTTAATTCATATTAATTATGTTT